AAATGCTCAAACATAAACATGAAAGTTGTTAAACATGAACTAGATTAAGGATGTCTTATTCCATCTAACTATTGAAAAGGACGCACACATCCTAATTGCGGCTCCACACTGTCTAGTTTCAGCCAATTATTATCTTGTCCCATTGCCACTCTTTTGTCTTGTGCCATCATTCATTTTGGCAGTTTAATCACTCTTTCTTCCTCTCCTAGTATGGGCATTCCCTCTTCTTCACACCTCCCTTCCTCTCCATTTTTCTGTGAATCTGTGTTGCTTAAAACTATTTACATCTCTGACATTGATAGTGATTCCTCACAACACATTTCCTCTGATAAGTCTATGTAATTATCTCATTTTCTTCATAACATGTGTGGAAATGTAGCATTCTTCAGTACTAACACTCCCGAAACATCTGCCTAAGACCTGAAAAGGTCCTTGACTGACTCCTTTCCATTTCACACACACTTCTTCTCCCACCCCTTCTCCTGCCTCTTAGAACCACAATAATGGCTATCCAACCAGCCTCCATATTCACAATTTCAATTTCCACCCTTTCCGCTACCTCCAACATAATGAAAGCACCAAACAGCATTCCACAGGGACCATCGCCTCTGCTCTGTTCTCATTGATATATAAAGCCTTTCTGCAACATCTCCCCAGGCTGTTTTTGGAAAATAACCCCTCTTCTCTCACCCTGGCAATGCCAGCAGACCCATGATTCACTTAACAAAATAACTAAAAGAACTATTGACGGACACAAAAATAGCTGGAAAAACTTAGCAGTCCTGGCAGTATCTGTGGAGAGAAAGCAGAGTTAACGTTTCAGGTTCAGTACCCTTCTTCAGAACTCTGCTTTCTCTCCACGGATGCTGCCTGACCTGCTAAGTTTTTCCAGAAATTTTTGTTTTTGTTCATGATTTACTTATATTTATTTGTTGTAATGTATTGTATTTGGTGTTCTCAATGTGGTCTCCTCTACACGGATGAGACCAAGTACAGACAAGGGTAACAGTTTACTAAGCGCAGCCATATATTCCACAATATATTCTACATATATTCTTGTCCTTTGTCCTTTTAATTCTCTCCTTGTTCCCACTCTGACCTTTCCATATTCAGTGTCCTACAGGGTTCCAATGCAATTCAACACAAGTTCAAGGACTTGCACTTCATCTTTCAACAGGGCAAATTACAGATTCTGGATTCTAATTATTTAGAACAGAATCTTTGCAATCCATTATCATAACACGAATGACAATGAAAGATTCAGATAACACATGGTGTCATGACCTGTATTATTCACTGTCTCTAAAATAGGTGCTTTCATACTTATTAGATTTGTTGTTCAATTGCCTGCTTACTTTTGAGCCAGTACTCACTCATTAGTGCATGTTATCATGTTAACATTCTTGTCCTGTCCTTCTTCATTGCTTTCTATGTTTTAGCCCAAGTGACATTTATCCCAGAGAGTCAGGTTCATACTGAGTCAGCTTTCTGGAAATTTATTAACAAATCTTCACTATCTCAACTAATCCCACTGGTTTATCTTCTTTTACCACAACCTTTCTTCCAGTGCCATTCTTAATCCACCAGCACTGTGACTTTTTGTGTCCCACTTAATTGCAGTGAAAACACCTGATATCTTTCATCTCTTTTCCACCCTCTTGGATTTCTTTTTTCACATGTGGTAAACTGTTCCCAGTGTGATCTACTTTTTGTTTTTCATTGAAGGATCTCCCTCTTTCCCAATTTCTATCCCTCATGGAATGAAATTGCTGTCGGAAGCTAGATTTTGATTTATGCCCTATTGCATATTCATCCGCTATCTCTGCAGATCTTCTAGCTGTTTTAACTCTCTGTTCCTCAACATGAGTTCTTATCATTTCTGGAAGTGAGTTTTTAAACTCCACCAGCAAAATAATATCTCTAAAGTTCTCATATGTCTTTTCTATTTTTAATACTCTCATCAATCTATTGAAGTTGCTCTGTTTAATTCTTTCAAACTTGATATAAGTCTGACCTCGTTCCTTTTCATATATTACTGAGCCATTGTCTATATGCTTCTGGCACCAATTTGTAGGCACTCAAAATAACCTGTTTTACTTCTTCCTGTTTTCCTGACACCTCTGACAGTGCTGCAAACACCTCAGTAGCCCTGCCTACCAACTTGGTCTGAATTAACATTACCCACACAATCACTAGCCAATTCATCTGGTTAGCTAATTTCTCAAAGGAAATGAAAAAGGGCTTCTACATCTTTTTCATTGAATTTTGGTAATGTTTTGACATATTTGTGTATATCCTTACCAGGCCTTTTGCTACAATGGGTTTGCTCATCATCACTCTCCTCACTAAGCCTACCTTGTACCTTCGTCTCCATCCTCTTAAATTGACTTTCCTATCTAATTGTCAACTTCCAAAATTCAAAATCTCTTTTTCTTTTTCATATTCAAGCTGCTTTATTTTTCCAACTCGAACATTCTTTATTTTTGCTTTGCTTTTTACCGTAATCCAAGCTGTTTCGGTTCTCTTCTTTCGCTTCAGTTAGGGCTCTTCTTTCCCTTTCTTTCTCTTCTAACTCCAGTTGTCTTGTTAATTTAATTTCTTCTAACTCCACTGCACTTGACTGGTTCTTTGATATACCTAAATGCTTGGCTAACTCTGTTACAATTTCAGCTTTCTTCTTATCCCTAGTTAAACCCAAGCCAGCCTGTCTGCTAATTCTAAAAGTGTCTCCTTTTTCTGTCTTTCTAAACTTCCTTGGCAAATTTGGAAAGCATCTTTGATCCTCAGAACCTCTTTAGCAATGTTAAGAGCCACTTTCCCACTTTTGATTTAATCAACAACAGATTTTCCACTTCTCATTTAAGTTTTTTTTAAAAAAGAACCTAGGACACTACTTCCCAAGTCTGTTTAAATCTGTTGCTACTTTTCTACCCCAAATCTGTGCAAATCTGTCCAAATCCATCCCAATCCATTCAGATCCATTCAAAGCTGTTCAAATCCATTCAAATCCCAGATATGAGCCTACAATCTGTCTAAATCCCGGACCAAGCTGGTCAGATCACAGATGAGCCCCCAATCTGTTATAAAGCCGACATTGATCCCTCTCTGTGAATTAAAACCAAAACACCCAAACAGTAGTACCTCACCCTATAATCTCTAAAAGGAGTGTCAAAAGTGGTATAACCTGCCTTTCAGCCACTTCTAGTGGTCAAATAAAATAAATCCCTGTCGCTCACTTTAAAATCAACAAGTAACAATTTATTTATCTAACTCTAACAGTGAACAAATTAACTAAAATATTAGCAAATTGAATAAACTCCTTCTAACTACTAATCCTGAATAAAACAAAATTCTAATGGGTTGCTGTTCCAATACATACAAGTCGCACTTATATAAAATAAAAAAAAAGCATAGAATTCAGTCTCTCGAAAGTACAGCCAAGTTACATATCTTCCACAATGTTCTGTGCCTTCTCCGTCGAATGTTCTGTCAGGAACACCTTGTCCATCGATTCTTCTGTCAGGAATATTAATTAGTTGTGCCATAGGTACCATTGATTTAGATGGTGCCTTCTCTAACGCTTAGAAAAGACTGTGAGAGCCAGCGATTCTCTCGAGAGCTGAGAGCTGTTAACACTGGCAGATAGCAATTACTTCTCCTGTCTTTGTCCAACTTCCCTTTCCTTTTATACCATCGATAAACATATCAATTTCTTACACTAGGATTGACCCTATGTTGTCAAAACCATTAGATTTAAATTTAAATGCTTCTTGGTATCTAAGTGCCTGGTTCAAATTAATTGGCTAGAAAACAAAACAGAACTGGTGCTTGGCCTAATAACTGTATGACCTTTTGATACAAATGTTTCAATTTTGGGTGCTCTCTATGCTCTTGCAAACTTTCAAGCTGCTCACAGATGACCTTCTTAAATCTTTAAGCATGGAAAAAGCACATCATCCTTTAAAGGAACCACACACTGCTTTCCCCACTAGCATTTTACAAATGCCAATATTTTACAAACACCAAATTCTAATGTCCTGCCTCCCGATCCATAAATACTCTACCCAACTTCGCAACAATTCCATGTAGAATGTGGATCTAATATCTGAAATAAAAGCAATTAAGTTCAAGCAGGAACATGGAAAGATGGCAGATATTTGTGATTAGACTTTGTTTGTGTTCAATGGTAATCACAGACTGATTTGGCCAGGATTGTCTCTTCACATACTGCGTGAGAAAAAAAAAATCAACTGTGTCCCTTTCTCTGTGATCAATCTTTTATCCAGGCAGGTAAAGAACATAAGAACGTAAGAAATAGGAGCCAGAGTAGGCCATGTGGCTCATGGTGTTTCTCCGCCATTCAATAAGATCATGGCTGATCTTCTCATGGACTCACGTCCACTTACCCGCCTGCTCACCATAACCCTTAATTCCTTTACTGTTAAAAAAAATCTATTTTTGCCTTAAAAGCATTCAATGAGGTAGCCGCTACTGCTTCACTGGGCAGGGAATTCCACAGATTCACAACCCTTTCGGTGAAGAAGTTCCTCCTCAACTCAGTCCTAAATCTGCTCCCCCTTATTTTGAGGCAATGCCTATCGTTCTAGTTTCACCTGCTAGTGGAAACAACCTCTCTATCTTATCTATTCCCTTCATAATGTTATATGTTTCTGTATGATACCCTCTCATTATTCCAGATTGCAAAGAGTATAGTCTCAGTATACTCAATCTCTCCTCATAGGCCAACCTCTCAACTCCAGCATCAACCTAGTGAACATCCTCTGCACCCCCTCCAGTGACAGTACACCCTAGAATTGTTTTAATGGCGACCCAAATGGAACAGAGGATCTAGTGTATCCCCAGCCTTTGATGTATTTTTCACACAGAATTGGATAATCACAGCTATGGTCACTGCAATTCAAATAATTCATTGCACTGAGATTTGTGGTAACAAAGTACGACAGAAATGCAAGTGACTTTAAGAAAGAAATCTCCATAACTAGATTTGCAAGTTATTTTATTTATCTTTTTCAATTATTATGTTAACATAACAAAATTCTTTGTTGATGTTTGTTGTAAATTTGCTCCAAGAGGTGATATTTTCATTGATCAAACTGCAGGTCAGTTAGACATCCATTGCTGCGAACCTATTCAGGCTGGAAAAATTAAAACAACTGTTAGTGTTTAATAGTAAATCTTTAAAATTAAGTCCCAGAGTGGATCTTGAGCTAGTGTCCTCACTTCTGAATGAAGAGGCCCAGATTCAAGTCCCACTTGCTCCAGAGGTGTATAACTACATTAGAAAATATCTAAAATTAAGTCACTATCAAGGGAATATAATCTAAGGTTGTAGACTTCCTCGCCGAGCCAGTGTGTTTGGTTGCAGGCATTTCGTCATCCTGCTAGGTAACATCGTCAGTGTGCCTCCGCTGAAGCGTTGGTGTTCTGTCCCAGTTGTTATTTATATGCCTCGGTTTGCTGGGGTGGTTGACATCACTTCTGGTTTTGTTTCTCAGTGGTTTGATTATCTTATCCGGTTCAATGTGTTTGTTGATGGAGTTCCGGTTGGAATGTCAGGCCTCCAGGAATTTCCAGGCATGTCTCTGTTTGGATTGTGCTATTATGGATGTGTTGTCCCAGTTGAATTTTTGTCCTTCTTTGTCTGTGTGTATTTAGACCAGTGAGAATTGATCATGTCTCTTGGTGGCTAGTTGGTGTTTGTGTATCCTTATTGTCAGTTTTCTTCCAGTTTGGCCTATGTGATGTTTCTCACATGGTATTTTATATATTAGATTGGTTTTACTTGTTGCGGGTATGGGATCCTTTACGTTCATCAGCAGCTGTTGTAGGGTGGTTGTTGGTTTGTGGACTACCCTGTTACTTTGGGGAGGTGTGGGGAGTGAACAAGCGGGACAGAACACCAATGCTTCACTGGAGGCGCACTGACGATGTTACCTAGCAGGGTGACATCAAACATACTGGCTTGGTGAGCAAGTCTACAACCTCATCCACAACCTGAGCTATAAATCTTGTCAAAAACTTAGAATATAATCTACACTATGCTCGCCTCAGTTGGCAATGCTTTTGACTCCTAGGTTGCGAGTTAACATGAATTGGAATGCAAAATCTATAGTGACACTCTAGTGCAGTGCTGAGAGAATCCATCACAGTCTGAGGTGCAATTTTTCAGACAACGCAAAAAACTAAGGCCTCATTTTTCTCTCATGGGCAGTGCCTCTCATGGTCCAACTTTGCCTCCATGTGTTTTGGCCAATATTATTATTCAGCCAACATCATTTAAAATAAAAGTGGATTATCTGATCATTAACATATTTCTGTTTAAGCTGAATTTACTGTGCTCTATTTTACTACTTCATTTTCTTCCTAAAAACTGTCGTCACACTTCAAAAGTACTTAATTAGCTGTAAAATGCTTTAGCATTTGCTGAGACCATGGAAGGTGCTATACATTTCTTTTTGCTTTTCGGACTTTTGGGAGCTGATTCAAGGACTCAGATTTGAAGTGAGTGACAGAAGGAACAAACACAGTATGAGGAACACCTTCCACACAAAGTATGTGATTACAATTTGGAATGCACAGTCTGAAAGGGCAACAGAGCCATTTTCAATTGCAGCTTGCCAAAAGGAAGTGGGTGCCCGAAGGATGAGAAAACGCTGCAGGAGGAAGCAGAAAACGTGAGGAATGAAGTGAGCTAAATTACAAACGGACACAGAATCAACAGGTTTCCTTCTATTCTGTGAGCATTTTACATGACAACCAGGATGAGGAATGCAAATTGATTGGACCTTAGCCCCTTTCTTGGTCTAGAAACCCTTACATTGCTGAGACATTTGACAACATCTGAATTTACAAGTAAACCTTGCCGATATGTAGCATATATACATCACATGTAGCAGCGCTGTTAGTTGTATAAGCTCAGCGCATGTACCTGCTTTATTTCAAGGCCAGTTGCAGCAATCACAGGAGGGATCGAAGACTAATCCAGTTGCACAGTTATTCACGTAGGTCACTCCATTAACGCATTCATAATAGATGTTCTTATTTTTGTTGTCAGGATAAAAACCATTGGATTTGCCAGAGCAAAATTTTGAGTTACCCCCAGAAGGAGCATTAGTGTTGGGATGAGGAGGAACAGCAGTGCTAGGAAGAGGGGAAGCCGCACATTCTGGAAAGAAAGAAATTTCATTCAATTCACATAAAGGCAAAATACTGCAGATTCTGGAAATGTGAAACAAGCACAGAGAATGCTGGAGAAACTCAGCAGCTCTGGCAACATCTAGGAAGAGAGAAACAGAGTTGCCGTTTCGAGTTTACTTCAGAACAGTGAAGAAGAGTCATACCAGACTCAAAACATTAACTCTGTTTCTCTCTTCCCAGATGCTGCCAGACCTGCTGCGTTTCTCCAGTATATTCTGCGTTCGTTTCATTAATTCATAGTTTAATAAAAAAAAATTGGCATGAATGGACATACTTAAAGATGTAAATGGAGTGAACTTCAATTCCACCTGAAGTGGGTGTAAGATCAGGAGTTGTGTGTGGGCAACATGCTAGAAACCATCATTGTTAGACTGCTGCCAATGAGTGATGGGCATTGAGAAACATCCCACTGCCACTCATCAATTGTGAGAGGGCAGGAAATCAATCTTCACCACACACCTAGACCAGAAAAGGTGGAGTTCAAGTTGGCTGAGTTCTGCATTATGTTCAATGGAATTAATAAGTGTTCCTTCTTCCTTTAAAAAACACTTTGAAAGAAATTGCAGTCCTTTTCCTGTCATTGGCAATCAGTTACATGCCGTGTGTTCAGTGATTTAATTGGTTGTCTGTTTGCAAGCTCACTCTTTCGAGCTACCAATCTTAATCACAGGAATATGCAGGAATTGTCAAAGCATGCATAGCCTTTTACAGACTCCAGACATCACCACAAACATAAAGAAGAGGAAATCTGCCTAGCAAAGTGAATGTCAAGAGAGCAAAGTGGGTGGCACAGTAGCTCAATGGTTATCACTGCTGCCTTCCAGTGCCAGGAACCTGGGTTTGAGTACATCCTTGGGTGACTGCCAGAGTAGAGTTCGCATTCTCCTCATGTCTACCAGTTGCGCTGGTTTCCTCCCACAGTCCAAAGATGTGCAGGCTACGTGAATTGGCCATACTAAATTGCCCATAATGTGCAGGTTAGCCATGAAATGTGCAGGGTTACAGGGATAGGATAGGGTTTGGGCGGGATGGTCTTCAAAGACTTAATATGGACTCGATAGTCTGAGTGGCTGTTTCCACACTGCAGGGATTCTAAAGGTCAGGAATCTGAAACTTCATTCCAAACACCACTTTACCAACAATAGATAGTGTGCAGAAATTGCAGAGGGTGGCTCAACCCACTATGTCAAAGGCAAGTAGAGTAAGGCAACAAATGTTGACTTTGCCTGTGATGCTTGCATTCCATTAAATTTTTTTTTTTAAATGTGGGCAATAAAATTTCATAACAACATGCTGGCAAGCAAATTATTTCTATCATACTGTGCAATTTAACGCTGTAATGTTTGGCTCTCTACTGTTCCGTTACTTTTGGTTAAATGATAAGGTAAGCTATCCACATTAATGTTCTTCTACCTGGATAATCGGAAGCAAAACACATTGAAAAGATGATTTTCAATCTTATTTAGGTAAGTGAATGCCTCTTAATACTAACTCTGTCGTAAGCAGCAAAAAGTAGCTGGTGCAAGGTATTGTCACAACAAAGAATTACCTGGATTGATTCCAAGACCATTGTGTAATTTACTGATGAGAGGATAATGTCCCTGGTGGCAGAAAGTGCCACTGAAGTCGTCCAGCGAAAGAGTCCATACCATTGCTCCCCCAATTTTGTTTTCCTTCAGCCATTTGATCTGGAACACGTCAGGGGGGAAAGTTGCCATTGTTAGTCTGAAGCTTTCACTTTACATGTGTGCTCATAACATTTAGAGCATTTCAAATCATGAAGACAAACCACACACATTCTTATACATTATGAATGAAGATACAGTCATTTTGTTTGGGTATTAACCAGCTACCTCTTGTTTTTTTTTTCAAAATCTTGTAAAAAGGTGCTGTGAGATCATAATGAAACAAGGGAAGAGAGATCTTGGAGTGTAATTGAGACAGAGGGCTTATGCATATTCTGGAGCCATTCAGTGCTGGTTAATATAATGTAATTACCTGAAATACTGTTATAGAAGTGCACAAAGCTCCATTTCAACACACATGCAGATTTTTCACGTGAGTCCATGGAGAATATGGAATGAACTCCATTTGAGAATATTAAAGCTTCAATTATCAATAATATAACTGCATTTGTAACGTGAGTCAGTTCTTCATAACCTGGCTCTGTCTGAAATTATAGTTTGGGCACAAACAGGTGAGTTGAAAAATGAGTCATGTACTTCTTACAATATTGTCATGTGAATGAATGAAGCAGAACTAAAATGGACCAGCATGGTAAATGTCATGCCTTAACATGTCTGGTAAATTAAGGAAAATGAATAGCTCATTTACCAAATGCACTTGTTACAGGTGCTCATGATTAAGATTAATGGTCAGAAAACTATGAGTGCATTTTAGTTCTTGATAGGTGGATCTGGTGGCTAGGTCTAGTAATATTGTATGCAGTTCTGGTTTCTTTATCTGAGGAAGGGTCTTCTTGCTACAGAGGAAATGCAGCAAAATGTTACCAGACTGATTCCTAGGATGGGTGGACTGACATATGAGGAGAGGTTGAATTGGTTAGGATTATGTTCACTGGAGTTCAGAATAAGGGGGTACCTCATAGAAATCTATAAAATTCTAACAGCACTAGACAGCATAGATGAGAACGATGTTCCCAATGGCAAGGTAGTCCAGAAATACAGGCCACAGTCTTAGGATCAGGGCAAACCACTTAGGTTGGAGATGAGGGAAAAATATCTTCACTTAGAGAGTGATGAGCCTGTCGATTGGTTACACAGAAAGCAGTCCAGGTGAAAATGTTGCATGATTTCAAGTAAGAAGTGGACACAGCACTTGGAGCTAAAAGGATCAAAGGAATGGAGGAAAAGCAGGAACAGGCTATTGAGTTAGATGATAACCACAATCATAGTGGATGGCGATGCAGGATCATAAGGTCGAATGGCCTACTCCTGCTCCTATTTTCTATACTTCTATGTTTCTATGTCTCTGACCATGAGCATTTGGGATGTCAGTGCTAAAGCATACAGCTATTTGCATAGCAGACCTTGTCTTCATAACTTTGTGGGTCATCATATCCAACCCATTCATTTCCTTTATAGGCATAAGGAACCATCTGTGAAGAATCCCATTTTTCTGTGGCAGCCTTTAAGAAGAGGCAGATCTGTCAAAAGAATAAGACATTAGACTGCAACATTTGTACTAGGAAATTATTATTGGCCTGTAGTATCTTAAGTGCAGTTAAGATCTACTTAAATCAATTGTTTTCTGTTGGGATTACTCACCTCTTCTGGATTTTTTTTCTTTTTCAGTACACAAGAAACTTGTCTTTGAATCTGATTTTTAATTGACTTTGGGTGGTCTTGTAAAATGGGGATATTGTTTCAGGCACCTGTGATATATCTCTCCTACGTTTAGCATGGACGTATATAATCGGCATCTCAATGAACCTGTCTGATTTCATAGTATCACCCAAAGTCAAACGTACCCATTAACTATTTAAATGTAATCCAAATTTTTATTGAAATTTGCTCAACCATTTACATTGCTTGTCCCCAAACTTTGAATTATAGAATCCCTGCAATGTGCAAAGGGGCCAATTTAGTCCATATCAATCCTCCAAAGTGTATCCTGCCCAGGCCCAGCCCCACCCACTCCCTTTATTTATCCATATAGCCTGCAGGTCCCTGGACACTATGGGAAATCTAACATGGCCAATCCACCTAACGTGCACATCTTTGGACGGTTGGCGGAAACTGGAGCACCTGGCAGAAAGTGCAAACTCCACCCAGAAAGTCACCAAAGGCTGGAATTGGACCCAGGTTCCAGTTGCTGCGAAGCAGCAGTGTTAACCACTATATCACTGTGCCACCATGCCACCACTGATTACATCTTTAAGAGGTGATACCAAGCTGAAGCTAGTAGCCTTCAAATGGAGAAAGTGTCAAAACAATTGGCATGGTGGTTCAGTGGTTAGCACTGTTGCCTCACAGCACCAGAGACCAAGGTTTGATTCCAGCCTTGGGTGACTGTCTGTGTAGAGTTTGCACAATCTCCCCGTGTCTGCATGGGTTTCCTCCAGGTGCTCCAGTTTCCATCCACTGTCCAAAGATGTACAGGTTAGGCGGATTGGCTATGGTAAATGCAGGGTTACAGAGATGGGCAGGGCTGAGTCTGGGTGGGATGCTCTTCAGAGGGTTGGTGTGGAGTCGATGGGTTGAATCCACACTGTAGGGATTCTATGAGAAATGGTCATGGTAGTAGCTTTGAGTCCAGGTCTTTGTCCTTATCCACTGAGGAATTAAAATAATGGAAGTACTTGTCACAATCTAACCTCCCCCAGGATTCTGACCAGAAATGTTAACACTATATTTTTCTCTTCACAGACACTGTTGAGTATTTCCAGTAATTTCTACTTTTATTTGAGACTTATGGCATCTGCAATGTTTTGCTTGTGTAAAGAGAAAAATTTCAATTTCTATTCATCTAAATTGCTTGACGTCCTCTCATCTATCAAGTTGTTACATAAGAGTCATAGAATTATACAGCACGAAAACAGGCCCTCAGTGCAATTCATCCACGCTGACCAAGTTTCCCGAAATAAACTAGTCCCAATTGCCTGCATTTGCCCCATATCTTTCTCAATCTTTCCTTTTCATGTTCCTATCCAAATGTCTTATAGAATGAATGACAACTAAGCTAATGTATTCTTATGGCAAAATACAAGATTTTCGAAGTGTTGGGATATTTGGCACACTTGCACAATGTAAGTACCTCAAAGTAAGCCAGAAAACCGGATTGTTGTGTATAATGCCCAGCTGGTCCAGCACCACTGGCTGGGGCACCGACAGCAGTGCTCGATGTACTCAGTCTGAATGAGTGACCATAAGCTGCGAAACCAACATTCAGTTTCTCTGCGGGAGCTCCATTATCCTTCCAGTAGTTAATGGTATAGGCCTGTTAAGAAATTGGTAACATTAATGATTAGCTAAGGAAGACTACGAGCACTTCATCCAATTGCAAAACTGAAATAAGTGACATTCATGAATACAAACCATATTGAAGTATTTATTACCGCCTTGAGCAGAAGGGAGAGCATAAAGAGGACTATTTTCTCCAGTGAAGCTATTCCAAGGTCCATAGAAATCATACGTCATCACATTGAAAAAGTCTAGGGTTCTGTAAGAAGGAAGACCAGTTAGTAACTTTGACAGCTTACAGACAATATATATATTTATTCTTAACCTTATTCAAGATCCTCTCTTCCTCCAAAGGCAGCACAGTGGTTAGCACTGCTGCCTCACACAGCCAGGGATCTGGGTTCAATTCTAGCCTCAGGTGACTGTCTGTGTGGAGTTTGCACATTCTCCCCATTTCTGCCAACTGCTGTGATTTCCACTCGCTGTCCAAAGATGTGTGGGTTAGCCATGGCAAATAAGGTTGGGCAGAGGGGTGCTGAATCTAGATGGGATGCTCTGTAGAGAGGTAGTGCAGACATGATGGACCGAATAGCCTCTTTCTGCACAGTAGGGATTCCATGATTCCTGTCATCTGAAACTCAATTTACATTTCTGCTTGTTTATTACTCTTTGCAACCATGTTAAAATCCTGAAGTATTGGTTTTGCATATCGCCTCAATTACTTAGCAATAAAATAATAAAATATTTTGACATAGATACCCGTAGTACATAATTTATGGGCTATCTTTCTGACTCAAATGCAGTGCTTGTGAATGAAAGAAAATAGTTTGCAAATTTTCCTATGTCAATAATATTTTCTGAATGCATTGAGATCAGGTAGAGATTTTCATCCAAGTGTTGAACCCAATGGAACAAACTACTATAAAACAGCAATATCTATTCTTTACTGTGGACTTGATATTACCTCTCAATTTTCCACAATAGCTTCAGGGGTAGATCAGTGAAAATTACACTAAGGTTTGATGTTCCATCAGAAAATAGGGACCTAGTGTACAAATTCTCCTCACATTTGAAAAACATAATGAATTGTATATATTACCTGAGTTGTGACATAACAATTTGAGTTTGAATAAGTGTAGGGTCAGACATTCAGGGATAGATAACAGGATGCAAATTAGGAAACGTTTCCACTGGTAAGGATCAAGAAGAAAAATAAAAGGGTAATTATTGATCAAAATATCTGGTCAATCTGAAGACTAAGGTAAAAATTATTGCCGGAACACATCTGTAGGAACTTCAGTGTATGTCAAAGCAAGCAATAATGATATTGAGCAGATAAAAGTAATGCCAATTTAGGTGCAAGGCAAGATGGTTGGCGGTCCTAGCAAAGGTTAGCAAAAGTTTAATGAAGAATAGTTATACAGATTGTCTAAAATTAATTCTTGGACTGTAAGCTTTGGTGGTAAGACCAGCACCTATGACCCATCCTTAATTGCCCTTGAGAAAATGGTGGTGAGATTTCAGATCTTTATACATAAAAGAACTTGTTTTAATTGGGGAAATGGCTGCAAGATAAGATTGTACATTTTTGTTTTAAATGAGGAAGATGCAAGATTGAAGCGAATAAATTATTTAGCTTAAACTGCGCTGTAGGAAATAAATAATCTCAAGAACCTTAGAAGTCACAGCAAAGAAATCCCACAAATTATGGTATTTATGTGTTGCTGTATGATTTTGTGAGAGCCACTCTCCCCTACGGTGAGGTTACATTTACCCTGTAAGACTGACACCATACTCACTGTCCCAGCTGAGGAATCTCATAGGCAGTTTCAATCGTAGGTCTTCCAGCTGCCACCGCAGCTGAAAGTAACAGTCGTGGTCTCCCAGTACTTTTCCCTTCTGCTTCAAAAGCTGCTAGCAGTTCCTAAAATTCAAATGTTTTGGAATTTAATCAGTAACTGACTTATTTTGCACAAGGCAAGGCTTGAGAAGATGATCAAAGAAGCACTATGTTCCTTTGTTTTGAAAATTTGTATCCATGGCCACGCTTGGTACAGTAACATGTCTAACGTAGAGGTTTTGGAGCTTTCAAGCCTTAGAAAGGCTTTAGCAGTGGTCAGATTAACAAAAGTTACTGCAAAGCAAATACTTTTATCACAATGATCTGCTACCGATAAGAAAAATCAACTCGAGTTCCTATGCCTGCTCAAAATCCCGTGCTGATTACTGATAAGTGTCCATGTGATGATGATGTGGTTAATGGTGTTCCACCATGGTTCTATACCAGGGTAACGTGTGCTCTTTAGGTTGGTACATGAATCTAGCTATGCAATTGAGGGATTGGAAGGAATTTATAGCCCAAGCTGTCTTCAAGTGCTTCAAGAGAAGAGAAATTGAGGTAAATTTGATTGTCCCTCCAAAAAGGATCTTGTTGAAAAATGAGTTAAAAGATAAAAAGAAACTGAATTTAAAATGATTTCAATGAAATAGCAGAATCTGATGATCTCGGTTAATAACTCAACAGTTTATCCTGCTCCTGTATTTTTAATCCACACGAGATTGTGTGACTTTAATGTGAAGACTTTTTGCAGGTTTTCTCAGGATTTATGAAGTAAATACATTTTCATTTATTCACTTGATGTAGAGATTTTATACAAATGATGACCAAATTAATCTGTGGATATTGTTTGCCTTTTGATATTGTATAAGCAGTGTAACTTGCCAGTTAGGTTCTTACCTGTGTTAAGACCGTGAAGAGATGCTTGTCTTGTGCTGGGCTTCCTCTTGACCCAGGATACTCCCAGTCTATGTCCAAACCATCAAACCCATACTTACGCAGGAAGCTGATAGCTGATTTTATGAACGTTTGCCGATTTGCAGCTGTGGAAACCATAGCACTAAATCTATTGAAGAAAGTTAATGAAAAATCATTATTGATAACAGAGCTTGTTATGAAGCAATGGTAAAACAGACCTTATATGGTGACTCATGTCAGCATAAGTTAGGAAGCAAAGCAACAGTACTCTCATTTAATTTCATGTAGAATCTGAAAGCAAATGTTTCCTTAAACTAACAATGAGTTCATCTTACTTTTGAGTTCCAAAGTTCCAGCCTCCAACAGAGAGAAGAGTTTTAAGGTTTACATTCCTGTTGCGAATAAACAGATAGTTGAATTAGAAAAAGTAATGAAGGGAATAAAACACTGTTAGATGAATTACTGAAATTACTTTAAAATATCACAATATTAATCTTAGGAGTTACTCCTTGATACTGAATCTAATTAATGTGCAGCACCTCAGTTCAATTGAAATTAAATAAGGGTGTATTATGAACAGAGTCAATGATAAAGCACATTTTGTTTTTTGCACTCTGTAACTGTTACTTCGTTTTTTCATTGAGTTGTTTTGTGAAGCTGTGATGCTGTGGCTTAGAGCAAAGATCACTGAATACATCTCCCATTATCAAACATAATCAATACTGAGGGACCTCTCAGAATGATATAGATTGCTGATCCTCATAGATTTGAAATCAGACTTTGAACTTAAATTAATGTTATTGTAGATCTATACATCTTGTGTAGGAGGCTAAGTATTATGCAGTCATCAAAACAAAAGTTATATTTCAGGAGTTCGTTACTGGTGTACCATACCTGGTTTTCAGCGCATTAAATGATTTGTAGAGAGTCACATCATTCCATTCAAAGGTAACAATTTTATTGTTGTTTATAACAGCAAAAGCATAGATCAGGTGAGTGCACATGCAAGGGTCCACATCATCTGGGGTATACTTTGCTATTCCCGGTCTGTACTGGGCCCAGTTTGCGAAGTAACAGGCCAGTCTGTAGGCAGACCCTGTGAGTAGGGTGAAATGGAAATTAGGAGTGTGGACTCACCACATTAAATCGTGAAAACCCTTTAATGAACAAAGACTTACCCAGTTGCAGGCATGCCAGCAAGGCCACTGTTTTAATAAAGGAAAAACAATAAGTGTTAGAATTGTGATCAAAGGATGTGTGAAATTATAAAGGTTCACAGCTTTATTTTAGCTCAAGTTGCTAAGATGGTTTTTGGGTTGCACCTCAGTGCATTGAAACAATGCATGGACACATGTTTGGCTTTCTTACTCAAGCTGTTATTGTAACGTGCTCAGTGAATTAAAGGATCATTGACAACTGTTGAATTAATCTTGACATTACAGCTCGGTTGTACTGACCAGTTAATTCACTGACTTATTGAGAAATTATGACATTATTGCATTTTCTTGAAGTACTTCTGTCCCTTATTTTAGCAAAAGTATAACATAGTTCATTTTTCATGTTCTTATATTACCATGTCAAAGCATTCCATCACTGGTAACAAATACAGCCTTGTTGATTTATGAAATACTGTTCGAAATAAGATTATCATGATGCAAATAACAACAAATTAACAGCTCTGAACTTCAAACAGATATTTTCAACTCACACTGGGCTTTTCATTGGCCATTAAGGTTATGCATGATAAGAATACATAGGATAAAATACCAAATATAAAGATTAGTTGATTTGCTGAGTTGACAACTTTGGTGTGGCCAAGACTGAATTCATATCCTGCACTTGAGTACGGTACAGAGATAGGAAAGGATGACATTACGGTTGAATTTGAGTGCAAGGATAAAAATTATATAATCAGGGTGCTGTCAGGCCAGAAGTCAATGCAATCCAGCAAGCACAGGGTAATGGGTGAACAGAACTTGTTGTGAGTTACAAAATGGACAGCAAATCTTTGGATGAGTACAAGTTTATGTCAGGTGGATGAGCAATGGAGTAATCAAATCTGAATGCAACAAAGGCAGGAATGAAAGTTTCAAAAGCAGATAAACAATTTAAGTTCAATAACATTCTCCATTCCCATTTCATTGAAATGACAGAGCATGGATTGAAACGTTATATTTATGAATTCATCTACAAGGACGCTACACCCTCAAAGGGCATTGCTTCCAATTAAATTTTTTTAAAAATCACAAATGACTGTAGTCAACTGAATCATTTTACCTTGTGGCTCCTGAAACTTCTAGCTACATGTAAAATTAACAGATCTTCTTTATAAAGAGTGGATGACTTCTGATGTCAGAGATAGTAGGAACTGCAGATGCTGGAGAATCCGAGACAGCAAGGTGCAGGGCTGGATGA